TTTTTTTTTTGTGAATCCCATTTCCAGCGCATAGAAACTCATTTTCCCAGCCGCAAAAAAGGCTAATCTCAGCTCCCATTTTACTCCTTCAGTCGTCACGTTTCCTCTTGAAATTATGGATTTCCAGTCCACCAAATAAATAAAAAAGCGTTGACAAGCGCTTGATAACAATGACACAATAATTCATGAGTTATATATTTTTGATCAATTTTTGGAGGCTTCAGGACACCCCAGTTTTGCAGTGACGTCATTTCTACGTCACTCTTTCAGATCAGTTGGATGGCGGGTGTGAAAGCCATCAATACAGAAATAATGAGTTAGACGTCATTGACACTTTAATCGCTATATTTTTTTAGTTCACTGGCGTACAACGACATTCAAGTTTTGACCTACGAAGCGTTCTACGGTCTAAACAATCTGACGATTCTGTGAGTATCATGAGTTAATACAAGCCTTTATTTATCAAAGCTGATTCATAATTGCAGGATAAACAAAGACTACTGTACTATATTGTACTGTAAATTCGAGAACGGCCGCCATTTTGCAAAGTAGGGCAGCCATTTTGAATTAGTAGAGGATTGGGCTTAAGCTTAAGATAATAAAACGAATCTGAGCCGAGGMGGGAAATATTCGCGTTGTTTTGACCAGAGAAACTAGAGAAAAACGTCTGCTACTCCACAGTGAAATCGTGCAAATTTGGCATTCAAACTTGCCTGATAAAATTACAGAACTTAAAGTAAAATCTTGAAACTTAGGAGGCAATGTTTTGATATTGTCTTTATTATAACAGTATCTTGGTCTCACAAAWAAATAGTACGGGAACGTTTCGTATATTCTGAGAAAAGAAACGTACTGAAATGCACGCATGCGCAAACCTTTTCTATAGTACGCTGCCTAGAAGAAACGAAGATTCGCATGACGCAACATAAATGAACTTTATTTGTTGTCTTATAGGAATATCAGTATGAATCCACTTCGTCATTTCAAAGGGAATTCAAGTGGGTTATCCTCACTTTCTGTATTGGACGTGACAGGAATCGTAGACTGGAAACCAGAGAAAAAGCTGCTGCAACTGCGCATGCTTGAACGGATTATCGGTCTCACGTGGTCAGCGGAGTGTCAAAACTGCTTATTTTACCGAAGCAACAGGACAAATTCAAACCTTAAGGAAACAATATCTTGGAAATCAGAAAAGTGCTACAAATATAAGTATAGAACAACGGATTTGTCACCAATTGGGAAACTTTTAAGTAACACGTCTTTTCAGTTTGAGTGTGCCAGTATTTCCACCTGCCATCTTTACAGAACAACTACAGAACTGAACGAAACAGTTAACAAATGCTGGAAGGAAACTTTGGCTGGAATCACCGTCCAATCACTTTTTGGTTACGTCGGAGTGCTCGTCAATCTCCTCGTAATTTTCAATATTTTGTTTTCAAAAACTCTTCGTCAAAATGTTTCGATGTTTTTCGTATGTAACATGGCTGTGAGTGACTTCCTTCTGAGTGTCTATACTATATGTATCACTACGTATTTGAATAGCGTGTCCTTCACTTACTCAAACGAAAATTCTTATCGGCATTGTTGGAAGATGGGGTTCCTGTGGATGCTCGGAGAGGCTGGGTCGGTCATAACAACATTCTTACTAACACTAGAGAGATACCTCGTAATCGTTTACAGTCTCAACCCTGATATTAGAATCAGTCGCAAAATGGCAGCAGTTTTGATCTTGGTATGTTGGCTGGTAGCAATCGTTCTTACTGGATACGCACTGTATTATAATTTCTATCGATTTACATTCCTTTGCATTCCAGTTCGATTCGATATTGATATTTTTGACGCCTTGATCTTCACAATTGTTATAGTTGTATTTGCTTTATTCTTCTACCTCTTAACCTTCGTGTTTTACGCCCATATCTACGTCACAGTTAAACGCGCAGCTCAAAACGCCGGCGTTAATCGCGAATCCAAGCTCGCCAAACGAGTTGCTTTGTTAGTTTTCAGCAACATATTCTTTTTCTGCGTTCCTATAATTGTTTCTGCGTTTATAACGGTTCTTTATCAACAACGCATTCTGAAAGATCTCAGCGACGTGGTCTTCGAGGTGACGGCTAAAGTCCTACCAGCGATATTTTTGAGCTTGAATTCATTTCTCAACCCATTCCTCCACGCGTTCAGGAACGATCGTTTTACCCAGGCTCTCAAAGTGCAATTTCAGTGTCTGCGAAATATAAGGGTTTTGTTTGAACGACAACAGAATTTCCGCGTGTATCCTGAAACTCGAATGAGAAACGTCAAGGTTTCGAAGCCATGATTATGTCGTGTAAAAATGATCTACTGCGCATGTCAGGATATGATGGCGGGATCAATCGAAAATCCCCAAGTTTGGAGCAAAGGAAATTGAATTGCCACTGACTTCATTTCAAGGGTGCTAGGACAGACGGATTGGGCTATATTATAATCTATTTGTTATCAGTCATTCGTAGATTTTAAATAGATAGAGCTTTTAAGTTTTGAAGTATTTACGGGTCCAACTGCCCACAAAAACCGCTAATTATAAAATAAAGTGCAAAATGTTCTCAATGATTTTATCTCTACCTGAAACTATTGGAACTTTGTACAACAAATGTTAGTGTTGTGAAGAGCTGGGTTGGCGTGTGTCTAGATGTACAGTAGGTGGTTATACAGTCGACTACACTGCCTGTTCTAGAGGATTCCGACCACCATATAACAAGTACTCACCCTTCTAGTATGTTCTACCTCTCCACAAGGCAGTCGTTTAGAGAACTCAATACCAGTTAGCGGTGTCCCTGTGATAGGAAGCAGCAGGGTGGCATCCATCATTAAGTGGACGATATTCAGTGGTTTCATCTGAAGAAGAAAAAACACGTGTTCATGGGTAAAAAAAAAAAGGATCTTTTATATTTATACACGGTATGCATTAAAGCTAGAAGCTTGTGGGGCCGTGTATCCTCCATACACACCCCTTACTACATTAGAATATTGAGAGTTGAGTGTTCTGTTCGAGAGTTGAGTGTTCTGTGCTTTAGATAGAATGGCTTTTGCATGAGTGGGAAATGACGTGGCCAATCTGAACTGTATCCGTACCGTAACCATTACAACGTGTTGTGATTGGTTGAATCAGTGGAAGATCCACAATGATGATGATGATGATGATGATAATAATAATAATAATAATAACGGTTTAATGATGACATATCTACAGAGTAGCTTTACATTCATCATGAAATCACAAAATAAAACTACAAAAACTACGAAATTACAAAAATTATATACACCTACTTGCAAGAACGTTGACATACGAATATAGAACATTAGTGATTTAGTGGGATAGGAATTATATTAAAAAACAAAAGAAGATCACTGAAGCTGAACATTTTCTTTTGTCTTTTAATGTATTCCTTTCTCACTAAATTACTAATGTTCTAATATCGTATGACAACGTTCTTGCAAGTAGGTGTATATCGGATTAACAATATCAAAATTTTATCTTAAATCTAAAAAGATGGAAAAAATGATTTCAAATTTAATGTTATTACTGTTTACGTAGATATGAATTCGGTGAGAAGCCATGACATGTCATACCATGTACGTGCTTGTAAGTTAGTAGGCTTACATTCCCCACTTATACCAAAACTGCTCTAGTGAATGTAGTAATAGTGCTTGTGGAGTGAACATCACATAATAACCCCTTACGGTGAGCGATGGTTGTGAAATAGATTCTTTCTTTTATAATATCATGTTTAAGATTCTCGTTTACGGCAAACGTGAAACGTCTGTTGACCATTGAAAGATTCTTTAAAATTAGTGAAAAGGAATCGGGAAAATCTCCAAGTAGTAGATAAACATAAGAATACTTGTCTTTGTCGAGAAGGTTCGCAAAAGGTAAAGTGAATTGTAGGGAAACGATGAAAACGTCGTCACGTTTGCCGTTTGCGGGAAGGAAAAACGGGAATCTTAATCTGCCTAATAACGCGACAAACACAACCCCTAACGTCTGGGTTTCCGTCAATAGACCCCTTCCAGCACTTTGGAATCAGTGCAGCTCAATCTGGGGGACAAAACAATAGGTTCCAATTCTCAGAAGATTGAAATCCTTTTGCTTTGTCCCCCAGATGGAGCTGCTTTGACGTCACATGCAAGGGGTCTATAGAATTTAACAGTCTTAAAAGCCAAAAACCAAGATGGTTGAGGCTGTGTTGGTCGTGAAATTTTGAAAATCATGAGGTACATTGATGAGAAAGCAAGACAAAAATTCATGGTATTTTAACGAACCTTCATCTGACGATATTCATCCTCAAACATGTCTAGAAATATCTCATCCTCCTAAAACAATAAATATTAAAAAATCAATATTTACCTATTAATATGTGAATGAAGAATAAATTATTTTTCATTTATTAGATATTAATTACCTTGTAATAGTGACGAAGCTGCAGTGTGCTTGCCTCGCGAATATTCTGAAAGACATCGAACATCCAAAGTAGGATTATTAGACTCGATCAAATGAATCCTGAAACAACCTCTGGGCTGATCTAAGTCAGGGCATGGCTAACTCACAGATCGAACCCTGAAACAACCTCTGGGCTGATCTAAGTCAGGGTATGGCTAACCCACAGATCGAACCCTGAAACAACCTCTGGGCTGATCTAAGTAAGGGCATGGCTAACTCACAGATCGAACCCTGAAACAACCTCTGGGCTGATCTAAGTCAGGGCATGGCTAACTCACAGATCAAACCCTGATACAACCTCTGGGCTGATCTAAGTCAGGGTATGGCTAACTCACAGATCGAACCCTGAAACAACCTCTGGGCTGATCTAAGTCAGGGTATGGCTAACTCACAGATCGAACCCTGAAACAACCTCTGGGCTGACCTAAGTCAGGGCATGGCTAACTCRCAAATCAAACCCTGAAACAACCTCTGGGCTGATCAAAGTCAGGGCATGGCTAACTCACAGCTCGCATTGGAATTCATTGTAAGTAAGACCTACCTCTACAAGTGCCAAATGTCTGTCATGTAGATATGCCTCGGTTTCATCGTCTTGTCGATACAATACAAGCTCTTTAATGACTATAATAGCCATCTCTACCGTTACTGTACGCACTCGACTACCTGCAGTAACAGATTAGTCTGATTAATCCAAAATGCTAATAAATGATAAATTGCAATCAAAACAAATGARATGTACTCCCATGTTTATAATGGTCTAAATCGACAATATGGCAGCCATCTTGGATTGCAAGACATTATGGGGCATACATCACCGCAAGAGACTACAACAAAAGATAAATCAAGACAAACACACGAAACTCTATATATTTTCCATCATCTTTGCTTTGTTTTGCCCCCTGGCAAGATAGTAGTCCATTATCGCATGGGCACAGGCCCAGCATGGCTTGCATGAGTCTTTAAACATTTGCCCTACATATATGGATGGTCAAATTGTTCATACCGTTTCGACAGCCTTGTTCAATCACTCTGATGATGTCATCAACTAGTTCTTCATTGTAAGGCACTCTTTCCTAAAATCACAATAAATTCATATTATGAACACAGGGAACCCACTTTACGCAAAATTCAAATAAAGTCTACTTTTAGATGTATTCCAGAGTCTTCCAGCGACGAGGTAAGTATTCACCAAAAATCTCTTCCCCTTCGGCGTATAACTGTTTTAGTAATATTACACAGGCAATAATTTGAAAGAAAATACACAACATGGGTTTATTTTTAAGATTTATTATATTTATTTCTTATTTTGAAAGTAGCACACATCAACAAACGGCACACGCGCAATCCTATGTTCACCTGTAAGTGATTATCGAGGAATAGTCAGACCAATCAACACTCGCGATTTTCTATAATTACCTCGGGTACTAAAGGCTGATAAATCGTACCTTAACAGAAGATATCCCAGCTGAGTGGAGAAGTTTCTTGTCGACGCCTACAGAAAAGAAAGGTGTTACAATGTTACAAAATTTTTTTTGACAATTTAATTAATTTCGGGATTTTCGAAGGGATCCGAAAAATAAGCATTGAGATCAATCGCTAAGAAAACAATGAGTTAAATGACCACAAAAAGCAAGAATAAGATACGTTATCACTGTGAACCAACACTAGCACCTATTGATCTCGATCAACGCTGTGTATATGTATTCAATTCAGTCATGAAATAAAAGTGAATATGATTTTTTTTTGCAAAAAAATAAGCGAACCCTGAAATCGCGAAATTAACATGCTGCGCAAAATTTCATGTTATAAGGTATCAATCATGAGGCCATGGAGGACTTCATGTCCGCCTTCCTGGTCTCTTGGTATACAGTTTGAAGATTGCTGATACATTCTTACCTTTGTTCTGTATGGCTGCGTAGATTAAACACAAGGCAAAGAGAGCTTCACCATCATTCTCAGTACATTCTAAACTAGAACGAAGCGTGTCGAAGAACAACCTGTAGACAAGAAAATATATGTCAACTAATTCAATAACCGGTGTCATCGCCTGATTCGGACATGGTAAGGTAAGGTTGAATACAAAGAAGATTGAATCAGTCTCAACACTAAGGTCCGTGTTCTTGACGAGAATAAGAAGCAGAAACACAAGTCGTTCAGTAGTTAATAGAGGCTATGGAATGACCCATCTCCTTTCGCTTTTTATTAGCAACATCCGCGCTCGCGAGGTTCTGCTAGATCCTGCGACCTTCTTTCTTTTTGTTTAAATAAATTCAATACCAAACTAAAATTAGTAACTATATAATAAAACGAATAAACGACTTTTTCCGTGCTCCGTTCAGAAATAAAGCACTTAGAAAGCGCCGTAAGCACTCAATAAGTTTGAGAAGCACTCAAAAAGTGTGAGAAGCACTCGCCTACGACTCGTGTTTCTCCTTACACTTCTTTCATGCTTACGTCACTTCCTGCGTGCTTTATTTCTGAACGGAGCACGGAAAAAGATGTCTTATTTGTGAAATACAGTATTCAGAGGTTGAGGCAAAGCTGGGTCAAATTGGCATTGCATTGCAATGTTTGACTGTTTTAAGGGAAAATATAGACCCCATCTTGAAAATGTCCCCTAAAATAGTCCTACAATGCAATGCAATCCCAACTTAACCCAGAATTTTTCCTCAACTTTGTAATGGCTAATATGGCATAGAGGGGTTTTACGGCATATATACTTAAGGCGAGGACAGATGGTTCAGCATTGCACGCAACAAATTTGAATCGGGGTGACACACATTGCAACAAAATTACAAAACATTGCTTGTGTCAGGCTGATATGCTAAGACATTCGGTCAGCGGTTATAAATTTAGTGCAAGCTGATTGGCTGGAAATTTCAAAATGTTGCACACAATGTTGCAGTCCTGTTCACACGATGAAATTTGTTGCACGCAATGTTGCAAGAGTCGAGCGCGATTCAACTTCAGATTTGTTAACAAGTTTCAGGGGTAGACAAACGCTGCAACAGTCCTCTTGCGTGCAATGTTGTACCGTGTGTCTAAACCTTTGCAAGAGCTGTCAACATTTACCTGTCAGGTTCGAAGTCCTTTGATCGTCGAACAAAACTCTGTTAAAAGGATTGAAAAATGTTCGTCATGGCAACATAGTCACAGAAGTCTTGATTAATAAATTATTTAAATACCTTAACAGGTATTCGTGAAGCCTTCGTGAACAATTCCTTATTTTGACCTGGAGAAAAGGAATATTTATTTGCAACATTAGAAGGGGAGAATGGGATGAAAATTCAATTAGTAATAAATGAAGGAGGGAAGGAAGGAGGGAAGGTAGGAAGGAAGGAAGGAAATTGAAAGAATGGATGCAGAGTAGGTGGGGTATGAGAGTTAGGTATGAAAGCAAATGAGAGTGAGAATGAGTAAATGACCAAATGAAAAAAAAACGACTTCAGTTTATGCATGATACAATGCAAGCAACATTTCCTGACCTTTTACTGGCCTCTCGTCAGTAGTGTGTGGTTGAGTGGGTGTCACAGATCCCAGAGAATCCACTTCGCTGTTGGTTTCACCCAAGGGCGTGTCTGTGACAGGAACGGTTATCCCACTTAACTTAGCTGAGGTTAGAAAAAAAATTATATTAGTCAGTACCACAACCCAAAGCTTAACATAACATCAAATGGCCAGTCAACAGACAACGTCCAGCAAGAACTGGAAATTGTCCTGTCAAATCTTTATCTGAGCCAGAAGCGATGTATGACTGAACTATTGCTAATTTGGTGATCATGACTGGCATTGAGCTGACTGGCTGTTACTTTAAGTCAGTGTCCAGTCAAATACCTCAGACTTAGGCTGGTTCTTTGACCAATCACATTTACTGGTCACATGTTGATCAGCCTAAATTGACCAGTCATAAGGTCAGGCTATGGAGCAACCATTTTTAGCCCTACAACCATGCAGTGATGTTYCAATAACAGATGCTAAAATTTTCAGTTTTAATACATTGGACTAAGAAAATAGAATAGCTGGGGTTGTTTCATAGTATCAGCTTCAACTTACTTGCTACAGTTGATATTGGGTCGTCTATTTTTTCTTCCAAAAATCCTCCTTCCATTTTTCTTTTCTCTGTTAAAAAAGATGAATTTGTTACTGAGGTGAACTGTTCCTGAGGATTCAATGATATTATTATTTAACCATTTGTCCCTTATTTACCATGATCATCTGAATTTAGCATTAACATAATATTTTACCTATCCCTTAAAGCATTCTAGGTGGTCCCCATTTATTCTGTATTATGTACTTATTGACTGAGTGGGAGGGCCGTACAGGAAAATATTTGGCTCGAGGTGATGCCGTACGGACCGAGCGCAGCGAGGTCTGTACAAATGACCAAGAGCCAAATATTTTCCCGTACGGCCGGACCTAACTCAGTCAATAAGCATATTTATCATATGATCCTCACGAAAATAAAAATAATAAAAAAAAGAAAGCGCGCGGATTCGAGCAGGGCCGGACGGTTTTTTCCGGCCCGCTTACATCAACCCGTCCGGCCCCCATCACGTGACTTTTTCCAATGGTTTTATTAGAGCRCGCGAGCAGGGCCGTACAGGTCATATGATAATTTAAGTTATTACACTGCATTATTATTGCCGAAGGTTCTTCCCACCTTCTCTCATTATTCTAATTATCCAGATCAAGGGGGATGGTGTTTAATTAATTACCTGCATGTACACTGTACCATGCTTTTAGGTTTTATTTATTCATTTATTTATCTATTTATTTTTCTTACTCATTCAGTCACCCATCCATCCATCCATCATTTCATCCATCTATCCATCCCTCCCTCCCTCCCTCCGTCCCTCCCTCCCTCCCTCCCTCCATTCATTCACACCTTTTTCATCATTATTTTTTAACTCCAAAGGAGGGTGGCTAGCCATCAAATCAACTACCCCTGGATGTGCTGCTGCCATCTTACATAAATTTCATGATACACACATATACATGTATCAATTTATCAAATCAACAATGAAAATGTCATATGATACCTTTGATGTAAAATTTTGAATTAGCTACGTGAACAGTCTTGGGTCTATCGCGTGACAGCGAGATCATGGATGATTTGCCGAGGAACATGTAGCCTTCTGTATTGACACCATATGCTACGAGGGATTCTTCTAGGGTTTGTTCTGGACATTGAAAAGTTCGAATGCTAGCAGAAGAGCTTGCTTTTGAAACAGCCTAAAAGAACAAGAAGAGCCAATGTCAGGCACAAAAAAGGGGATGACTCTGATGTTAAGTGCACTAGTTGTTTAGTGTACCTTTTTAAGAGGTAAAGGGGATGCCTCAGGGGTTGCTCCTGGGTCCACTTCATCCCCATTCAGTATAATATCAACCAGACTAGACACCAAAGGAGGATAAGACATGATAAGAAGAATCTAAAACAGAAAAATACATAAATCTTCATTAAATTTACTCAATTTTGTAAATAACAATCAATTGTTCCAAGCCTTCGCATCCTCCCTCACCTTACCCGGAACTTACTGTACTATGCACTGTACAGTTGACAATTCCACAAGTCTTTGATTTCTTTTTGGCAATTTTTTGACAATTTTGATAGGCAGAGTTTGTACTTGTAAGTTTTCACATGGTAACATCGATGAACTCTGCCTATCAAAACATTAAAGTGAAGGGCTGATATATAATTATTGGTTAGAAGTAAAAAGCACAATTCAAATAGTCCATATGCTTTTTTTCTTTTCATTTAAATGAACAATGTATAATGTATTCTTGGTTTTCACCCACGTGACCAACATCTTGACGACGGTTGCTAAGCCGCCATATTGGTGTACCACGCTGGTATCGGCCATGATAGTTT